GAAGCTGGGTTAATCGGAACATGAGAGTACACAGGTATAGACAGAGAGAAGGAAGAAGTAAGATGTCCCCCGACAAACTAAGCCTATATCAGCAAAACTAGGGGCTGAATCTAATCAGCCCTAACTATAAGCTTTATCAAAAAGGAAGGTCTTAAGCGCACTCTTAAAAACGGATAGGGTGTCTGCCGCCCGAACACAAACTGGAAGCTGATTCCACAAATGTGGAGCTTGATAAGAAAAGGCTCTGGCTCCCATTGTACTTTTAGAGACTCTCGGAACAACCAACAACCCTACATTCTAGGAACGCAATGCCCTAATAGGACAGTAGGGTATAATGAGTTCTTTAAGGTAAGATGGCGCCTGCCCATTAAGGGCTTTGTAGGCGAGAAGAATAATTTTAAATGATATCCTGTGTTCTATAGGGAGCCAGTGTAAGGCAGCCAGAACAGGAGTAATGTGGTCCCTTTTCCTAACTCTGGTTGGTACACGAGCTGCAGCATTTTGAATCAGCTGAAGCGACTTGACTGACTTCTTGGTTCACCCTGATAATAAAGAGTTACAATAATCCAGCCTTGAAGTAACAAATGCATGGACTAGTTTCTCTGCATCGTTTTGAGGCAAGATATGCCTGATTTTTGCAATGTTACGTAGATGGAAGTAGGCGGTCCTTGAAATTTATTTTATGTGGGCGTTAAAGGATAAATCCTGATCAAATATAACACCAAGATTCCTTACATTCTCACTGGAGGCCAAATTAATGCCATCCATAGTTAGTATATCCTTAGATAATTTGTTTCGTAGATTCTTCGGGCCAAGTACAATAACTTCAGTTTTGGTTGTGTTTAACATCAAAAAGTTTAAGGTCATCCACGTTGCTGATGCTGACAGCCCCGCTGATGCTGACAGTCCCGCTCCTGCCACCCGCTTGTGGCAGACCACACTTCCACACTCAACGGGAGAAACCGACTGGCTATTGGGAGGACCGGGAGTGTGTGTGTATGTGTGGCTCGAGCGAGCGAGAGAGAGATCTTACGTGCATTGTTGTTGTTAGCATCTGGTGCGACATGCAGAGGAGCGACATTTCGCCGACAACTGCGCCGAGCACTTGACTTTATGCAGGAAGCCAGACAGTGGGAAATTGTACGAAAAGTCAGCACACTCAGCACGGATAGTGCGCACAACATGATCACCACACACACACACACACACACACACACACACACACACACACACACACACACACACACACACACACACACACACTACCATGACGCCGGATCCCGGCGTATATAGACACCAAAAAGAAAGACATTTGGGGAAGCTGGGTTAATCGGAACATGAGAGTACACAGGTATAGACAGAGAGAAGGAAGAAGTAAGATGTCCCCCGACAAACTAAGCCTATATCAGCAAAACTAGGGGCTGAATCTCGATGGAAGTAGGCGGTCCTTGAAATTGATTTTATGTGGGCGTTAAAGGATAAATCCTGATCAAATATTACACCAAGATTCCTTACAGTCTCACTGGAGGCCAAATTAATGCCATCCATAGTTAGTATATCTTTAGATAATTTGTTTCGTAGATTCTTTGGGCCAAGTACAATAACTTCAGTTTTGGTCGTGTTTAACATCAAAACATGTAAGGTCATCCACGTTTTTAAGTCCTTGAATTTTATTTAGATGATTAATTTCATCAGGCTTGATTGATAAATATAGTTGAGTATCATCCGCATAACAATGAAAGTTTACAGAATGATTCCTTATAATATTGCCTAATGGAAGCATATATAATGTGAACAAAATAGGTCCGAGCACTGAGCCCTGTGGCACACCATGGATAACTTTGGTTTGCATAGAAGATTCATCGTTAACACGTACAAACTGAGAGCGTTCAGATAGATAGGACCTAAACCAGCCTAAAGCAGTTCCCTGTATGCCAACTAAGTGCTCTAGTCTTTGCAATAGGATATCATGGTCGATAGTATCAAATGCAGCACTGAGATTGAGCAAAACAAGAATAGAGACAAGTCCCTTGTCTGAGGCTATTATAATGCCATTTGTAACTTTAACCAGAGCTGTCTCTGTGCTATGATGTGTTCTAAAGCCAGACTGAAAATCTTCAAATAAATCATTGTTTTTTAAGTAATCACACAACTGTTTTGCGACCGCTTTCTCAAGAATTTTTTAGAGGAACGGAAGATTAGAAATAGGTCTATAGTTGGCTAAAACCTCTGGATCGAGGTTGTGCTTTTTAATAAGCGGTTTCATCACTGCTACTTTGAATGATTGTGGAACATAGCCTGATAATAAAGACATATTCATAATATTTAATAAAGAAGTGCTAATTAATGGAAAAACTTCCTTCAACAGCTTAGTTGGAATTGGGAAGAGAGAATCATTTAATTTAATTGTTCAAGGTTAATGGCTGAAAAGCATTCTAGTTTACTATCTAGTGTAATATTAGAACTTACGTTTCCGGGAGCTGTTGATAACACTATACTGGTCATAGGCAAGAGGTAATTAATTTTGTTTCTAAGAGTAACAATTTTATCGTTAAAAAAGCACATCAAATCATTACTACTGAGTGCTATGGGAATAGAAGGCTCAATCGAGCTGTGGCTCTCTGTCAGCCTGGCTACAGTGCTGAAAAGAAATCTTGCATTATTCTTATTCTCATCTATTAATGAAGAGTAGTAGGCTGCTCTCGCTTTACGCAGTGCTTTCTTATATTCATTGAGAGTAATATGCCAAATTAAACGAGATTCTTCAAGTTTAGTGGAACGCCATATCCTTTCAAGTTGTCTCGACTTTTGCTTTATTTTACGGGTTTCGGCATTATGCCATGGAGCAAATCTATGTTGTTTCATTTTCTTCTTTTTCAAAGGAGCAACAGAGTATAATTGTATTTGCAGTGCATCTGTAACACTATCAACAACATGATCAATTTGGGGTGGTGTACATTTTGTATAAGTTTCCTCCCTTACATGCAGACATGCTATCGAGTTAAGTATTGGTGGAATCTCTTCCTTAAATGTGGCTATAGCACTAACAGATAGGTTTCTGCTGCAGGAGCTTTTGACTAATGCTTTGTAGTCTCGTAATAGTACTTCAAAAGTTACTAAGAAATGGTCGGATAAAGCAGGATTATGCGGTTCAACTAATAGTTGCTCAATTTCAATAGCATAAGTCAGAACAAGGTCGAGAGTGTGATTATAGCAGTGGGTTGGTTTATTTACACTCTGACAGAAACCAACATAATCTAATATAGAGTTATTTGCAACAGTAAGGCTATTTTTATCATCGTCAACATGAATATTAAAGTCACCTACGATAATTACTTTATCTGTTTTAAGTACCAAAGTTGATACAAACTCAGAGAATTCTGATAAGATGTTCTAATATCTTAAGAGAAGAGCTTGAATATTAAAAAATAAAAAATACAAACTATTTTGGCTCCTTCCTGTCTGGGTCTTTCTTGGCTTTGCTATCTTCTAGATCTATTCAGGTTTTTGGAGTTTTTTTCTAGCTCTATCCCTGATCATTTTCAGATTCTGAAGGCTCTATGCGGACTATCTTCTGGTTCTCCTCTGGATCCATTCACTATCTCTTGTCTCTGTCCAGTCAATTACACTTGTGTTACTGGAGCAGGTAAACCATACAACAGATACTTTCAGCATTATCGGAGCACGCAGTGGAAGCTTGGATGAAACACAGCGGACTTCTAAACAATGAACACCCGCAACTTGGGGGAAATAAAGTTGGGTTTTATGCGTTCTAATATTGCAATGCAAACCCATGATGTAATGACAGTAATTCAGAATAATTGAGTCATTGAATGCTCATTTCAGTTGATTTAATCAAACAAAACACAAACATATTGGACGTGGCTTCAAGACTAACCTCTTCACATTCTGTTGAAATAGTCAATTACTAGCCTTATCTCACACATTGCTGTTTTGAATCTCTAATATGTGGATGACAGTTGAACTGCATGATGTAACATGTATGCCATCTGCTGGAAAGAAGACGTATCGCTCTGTTGGCGTTGTTTAGACCAGTGTTTTTCAAAGCGGGGCCCGACCCCCCGGGGGTCGCGCAAAGTTTGAGGGAAAGTGGAATTTAAAAAAAAATTGAATGTTACATTTTTTAGATGTTATTAATAACTGCATATCTATCAATCTGTGTCCTTTGATGCCAATCTTTTAATATTTTTTATTTTTTCATATTTTATTTTTTTGTTTTTAATTCACACGACCGCCCTTCAAGCCAATCAGAATCGAGCTGCCGCTACTGAGAGTGAAACTGAGCATCTGCTCAGCTTTTGGAGCAAGTGAGAGCTAGTGAATATTTCACTCTGCAGCTGGATGAGAGCACGGATGTAGCAAATATTGTTGTTTATATAAATATAAATACGTTTACTGTTAATATTACTGTTGAATATTATATATAAATAGCTTTAAAAAATAATACAAATATATGTTAATTGTTGATATTACTGTTCAAAATCATATAATATTATAAAGACAGAAATCACTTTAAAAATGCTTTAAAATATGTTTACTGTTGATATTACCGTTTAATATTGTGTTAAGAATGTTTATAACAGAAGACACCATCAATGTAATGAATGACAAACAAAAGATAAAGACAAAAAAGTTTGAAGAATAACTGATTATTAATTATTAATACCAATATATATTAAGAAAACATATTAAGCTGTATGATTAATTTGTCATATTTTCCATCATAATGTACTCATCATTTAAAAAAAAAAAAGGCAACAGGGGGGTCCCCGCCAGACGATAATGCTATATGGGGGTCCTAGGCATGGCAAAGTTTGGGAACCCCTGGTTTAGACAACAAAAACAGAGTGAAGCTCTCATTTCATCAACAATCTTTGAGTACAGACACCGTCCTGCAGAGAGCACACAGCCCAACAGCACGTTGTTGGTCTAGCATCACTTTACAAAACGTTTGCATTAAGACACTAAGACTAGCTGGTCCCTTGTAAAGGTGAGTCCACCTTAAATGAGCAGTGGGTGATCAGCAGGTGAAAGGCAGGACACGGGAACTTGGTCCTGAGGAGATGTAACGATTATTAAACAAGAAATAGTCGAGTCAAGGGGTCGAAGAAATAAACATTTGTGATTATTAGCGAATCGGTTGCAGGTGGGTGAAAACAGGCTTAGGGAGTAACGTATTACATGTAACGGCATTAGGATACAAATGTATTCCCTAACCAACACACTTGGTCTTTTTAAACGATTACGCCATTTAAATCTTTTGTCACAAACTTTGCAAATCTATTTTTCCTCTCCTGTGTGGACTCTCATGTGTCTCTTTAAATGTCCACTCCGTGAAAAAGCTTTCTTACAGACTGTACAGGTGAATGGTTTCTCTCCTGTGTGGACTCTCATGTGTGACTTTAAATGTCCACTATGTGAAAAAGCTTTCTTACAGACTGTACAGGTGAATGGTTTCTCTCCTGTGTGGACTCTCATGTGTGACTTTAAATGTCCACTATGTGAAAAAGCTTTCTTACAGACTGAGCAGGTGAATGGTTTCTCTCCTGTGTGGATTAGCATGTGTGCCTTTAAATGTCCACTCTGTGAAAAAGCTTTCTTACAGACTGAGCAGGTGAATGGTTTCTCTCCTGTGTGGACTCTCATGTGTGCCTTTAAATCTCCACTCTGTGAAAAAGCTTTCTTACAGACTGAGCAGCTGTGTAGAATCTCTCCTGTGTGGACTCTCATGTGTGTCTTTAAACTTCCACTCTGTGAAAAAGCTTTCTTACAGACTGAGCAGCTGAATGGTTTCTCTCCTGTGTGGACTCTCATGTGTCTCTTTAAACTTCCACTCAGTGAAAAAGCTTTCTTACAGACTGAGCAGCTGAATGGTTTCTTTTCAGCACAACGTTGTGGATCACTGACAGATTCATGTCTATTTTTCAGTGAGTTTGAGCCTGATGCAGGTTCTCTGGTCTCTTTCCAATCAGCACTGTCTTCAGTGTCAGGTTCAGAAGAGTCTTCAGTGTCAGGTTCAGAAGAGTCTCCAGTGTCAGGTTCAGAAGATTCTTCAGTGTGGTCCTCAGTCTTTGGTTGCAAACTGCTCTCTGGATCTGAGTTCCTGGCTGGTTCTGGTCCTCGACAGTCATCTCCATCAGCTTCTGTTTCCATATGTTCAGTTTGTCTTTGATGAGGCTGAGAGGACTGAGGTTTCTCTTCATCATCTTCACTCTTCACAGGGTCAGGAGTGAAAGTGGACTTGGTGATATCAGCCTCCTCCAGCTCCTGAAGCTGCTCTCCCTCCTGTTCCTGCTTAATGTGTGGGGGGGGCTCTGGGTCCTCCTGGTCCAGACTGGTGCTCCACTCCTGCTGGTCAGGGAGAAGCTCTTCTTTAACCACCACCAGCTGCTGGACGTCTGCAGGAAACAGGAAACACAGTCAGAACAAACTGTTAAGTGTTAGCATTTAAAAATCTCATCACCATTACAATGGGAGACATTTTGCAGCCCTAATGAATGCCTTTGTTTTTATATTTTCACATTATCTTTCTTAGTCCCACCTATTGTGTATTTATGTTGGCTCAAGTCACCTCATGTAGCCCAGCCCCTTTCCACTTCCAGTTCAAAATGTAAAAAGGTTTTTTCTTCTGGCGTAGCACTAGCCGCAATGTAAACAAGGAATTGTATTTGGGATCGTTCACAGATACACTACGCCTACAGTATAGAATGAAAATACTGTTACAAATAAAAATCCTGCATTCAAACCTTATTTAATTAAAAGTATGCAAGTATTAAGAGAACATTTGACGGCACCTTCTTATGTAACGGTAATGATGGTGCAGTAAAACGTTCCCTGTCAGTTTTTAATTTATGTTGTTTCTTGATTACTTTGTAAGTTGCATTTCACTGCTGCACATGTTCAAAGTTGCGCTTGTATAAATGATTATAGATTATAGATAGTCATTGGAGGCAGTCGCAATTTCTACAGGCTCGCACTACCTGTTAGCATCTGTTAGCATCTAGCTCTCCTGCTTACAAACTTTTAGCCATCCCTGCTTATACAAGTAGTAGTTTTAGTTATCTGCGATCTGCGGAGGCCTACCTGTGAGTACGGCTGTACTGAGGTGTTTTTCCTCCGGAGACGTCGCGAAGAGACGGAGCGGCTCCACCTGTTGCTGCCTGCGATCTGGGATCTGCGATCTACGGAGGCCTGCTCCCACCTGTTAAGTTCGGCTGTACTGGAGAGGTTTTTACCCCGGAGACGTCGCGGAGAGACGGAGCAGCTCTACCTGTTGCTGCCTGCGATCTGCGATCTACGGAGGCCTGCTCCCACCTGTTAAGTTCGGCTGCACTGGAGAGGTTTTTACCCCGGAGTCGTCGCGGAGAGACGGAGTGGATCCACGCTTCGGGCTTGGCCTGCTTCCACCGGGCGTGTGCTGCTGTACGGAGGAGGATTTTACCACGGCTGGGGCCTGCTTCCCACCTGTCCTGGTTCTGCTGTAGCAGAGGCCTGCTTTCACCCCGGGGATACCACGCTGCTGCTTTCGCCTGTCCTTTGTCATTCTGAGAAGACTACTAGATTCAGGTCTGTTCTGCCACCCGCAGTGGGCATCCCCTGCAAAGGTTCGGATGTGTTACACAAACAATTACCGGTTGCCTTGTCACAGTCAATCTGCTCAACAAAATATGATTGTCTTTTTTGTTTTCCTGCGATGATGGTTCTTCAGGACTGCTTCTTAAGCTCTAATCACACTCTCGCAGACTTTTCCATTGATTCTAAAGTAGATGACAATGTATGTGTGTCGCTTAAGAGGAAAAGATGCCTGGTTTTTTTGTTGTTATTACTGTCAGGAAATGTACAACCTAACCCTGGTCCGCCCAGTAGTAGTAGTCAGATCGCTACTCCTGCTGATTTTAAAGCTAGATCTGGGTTGGGTTTCATCCACTTGAATGTGCGCAGTCTGTTAGGTAAACTAGATTTTGTCCGTATCTGGGCAAAATCGACTGACGCTGACGTCATTGTCTTATCAGAAACATGGCTAAACAAATCTATTTTGGCCTCTGACATTGCCTTAAATGGTTTTAATGTGTATCGTACCGACCGGCCTAATAAAGGTGGTGGCGTTGCCATTTATGTTAAGAATAAGTTCAGTGTAACCACATTAGTTTCCAAATCTATCAGTAAGCTATTTGAATTTTTAGCCTTAAATATAGAAGTGGCAAAGGGTCAACAGGTCATGGTAGTGAGTTGTTACAGACCCCCCTTCAGCTGTCAAAGACTCCTTGTCTTCACTAGCAAATATGTTATCACAACTAGACTACAAGGAAATAGTGCTACTTGGAGATTTTAACTGGGACTGGTTAACTGCAGTGTCAGAGGATTTTAAAAACCTTTGTATCTCTTTGAATGTTACTCAGATTGTTGACAGTCCTACTCGCCCAAATATGAAGTCCCCTAATAAATCCTCCCTAATTGATCTCATTTTAACTAATGTTCCCCATAAATATTCATCTGTGGGAGTATTTGCAAATGATCTGAGCGATCACTGTGTTGTAGCCACAATTAGGGACACTAAGGTCCAAAAGGTTAAACCTCGTATTATCATCAAGAGAGACATCAAACATTTTGTGGAGCAGGATTTTGTACATGATCTGTTTGGGTTTGATTGGGATAAAATCGATCTGTGTGCTGATGTAGAAACCGCATGGTCTTATTTTTATCTTGGTTTTATGGAAATTATAGATAGACATGCACCCCTGCGTACATTTAGAGTGAAGGGACGAGACAATCCTTGGTTTTCTGCTGAATTATCTAGTATCCTACATGAGAGAAACAAGGCCTGGGCAAAGGCTAGGAAATCAGGCTCAGAGGTAGAATGGCTGCGTTTTAGGCAGCTAAGAAATAGCTTCACTTCACATGTCAAAAGTGCTAAATCTAAGTATTATCTGTAAGTTACCACAAAGAACCTGAACAACCCTAGACAATTCTGGAAAGCCATAAAATCGATATCCACCGGTGATATCCGTAATGAGCTACCTCCGTGCCTTACCACAGTATCTGGCACTATATCGGATAGGACCACCATACTAAATTGTTTTAATGAGCATTTTGTGTCCTGTGGCTCTCTGTTTCATTCTGTTTCTAATTCTGCTTCTGTGAACACCACAGTCGGTGACTCAGAACAATGTGGTCTGGAAAACCCCTTCAGTTTTACTCCTTTTACTGTTGATGTTGTTTGTGAAGTCTTAACCAAGCTAGATCCTAAAAAGCCGGCTGGTCCGGACAACGTAGAACCTTTCTTTTTAAAGATAGCTGCAGATTTTATTGCTCCACCTCTTACTACTCTTTTTAACCTCTCCCTCAGCACCAACAAAATCCCAAAAGTATGGAAGTCAGCTTATGTCCTGCCACTACTAAAAGGAGGGGAGGCCACCTTATTAAACAATTATAGACCCATCTCTAAATTGTCAGTTCTGGCCAAGGTTCTTGAACGCCTAGTGAGTGAACAGGTAAAGGAGTTTATTTTTCATTGATTGATTGATTGATTATGTAACAATGACATCCTGTCTAAACATCAGTCAGGCTTCAAAAAGCAACATAGCACCATCACTGCCACAATGAAAGTGGTAAATGATATTACGAGTATTTTAGATAATAAGCAGAGTTGTGCAGCTCTATTTGTTGACCTATCCAAAGCTTTTGATACTGTCGATCATCGCATTTTGAAGCAAAGGCTGGTCAGTATAGGCATGTCCAGCCATGCAGTAGGGTGGTTTGTGAACTACCTCTCTGAAAGGTCCCAATGTGTTCAGTTTGATGGGCTGTCTTCTGAGTGGTTAAACATCACTAATGGTGTACGACAAGGTTCAGTTTTAGGTCCGCTATTATTCTCTATCTATATTAATAGTTTAGGTGAAAATGTCGAAGGAGCAACCTTACATTTTTATGCGGACGATACCGTTATGTACTGTGCAGGTGCCTCGATTAACGAGGCTGTTGTTAAATTACAGGCTGTTTTTAACATTATTCAGGCTCAGCTCTCTGAGCTTAAGCTTCTTTTAAATGTGGATAAAACCAAGGTAATGCACTTTTCGAAAGCTAAAGCTAAAAATACACCAGAGACTGCTTTGGATATTGTAACTACGCAAGAAATACAACTTGAAGTGGTTACCTGTTACAAATACTTGGGTATCTGGCTTGATGACTGTCTCACTTTTAAACTTCATGTCAATAACCTGCTTAAAAAGCTGAGGGTTAGGCTAGGTTTCTTTTACAGAAATAAGTCCTGTTTCTCGCTTGAGGCCAGGAAAAGGCTAGTCACCGTGACCTTTTTACCTGTGCTGGATTATGGTGATTTGTTATATATGAATGCACCTGCCAATTACCTGAGCAAGTTAGATGCTGCGTATCACAGTGCACTGAGATTTTTAACAAATTGTAAAGCACTTACGCATGACTGTACCCTGTATACCAAGGCGGTTATGCCATCACTTACTGTACGTACGGAGGCTCAGTCACTGGTACTTTTTCATTTACAAAGCCATGTTGGATAAACTACCATCTTATATCTGCTCCCTGATCTCTCTGCGAATTGAAAGTACTTATTGCCTTAGATCGCATGCTGTGGTTTTATTAAATGTGCCAAGTGCTAGGACTGTCTTAGGGAAGAAAGCTTTTAGATGTGCAGCTCCACTAACATGGAACAGTCTGCAAAAAGAATGGAAAATTACCACGCTAGTACCACTATATGTTTTTAAAGCTCGGTTGGATGCTACAAAATCAGATGCTTTTGGTAACTGTACTTGTAGTTAAATATGTAAATTGTAATCCCTGTACATGTTGCTGTATGATGTCCTTTTGTTGTTCTGTTGTTTATGTCTTCTTGTGGAACCTACTGCTGCAGGTCTCCCTTGAAAAAGAGATCATTGATCTCAATGGGATTTTACCTGGATAAATAAAGGTTTTGAATTGAATTGAATTGGGAACCTGCTAAATGTTCAAATATGTGTGTTTTTTATATACAGTACATAAAAAACTTTACATTTACTATTTACTATAGTAAATGGTAAAACTTTAGTTTTTTTACAGTTTTTTTAGTGTATTTCATAATTACAGGAAATCATAATCAATGTACAAGAATAAACGGTTTATTGAAATGGGTCATGTATTTCAACCAAAACAAACTGTAAAAATGGAATACATTATTTATCTGTTTTTTTAGCAGTTTTTAAATGTGAATTTAACAAAACTAACCGTAAAAATAAATGATTTTCTGTTGGCAAAATTAGCTGCATTTTCTGTAATTTTACTAAAAAATACTTTTGTTATGCCAATATATCACTGTCAAATACATAATACTGTTAATACTCGTTTAAAAAATGTATAATTGCAAGACAATATATGAGTAAAGAAAGAAATATTTTGTAATTTTGCTTAATTTAACCACTACCTTACATTGATAAACTGAAAAACACAGGTATTGACTATCCTATTAGAGTAAAAAAAACTACATTTTAACACATTTTGACTTTCCCTTTATTGCTACATTTGTATTAATTTGAAGATGTAATAGTTAAATATGTGAATTTCATGTTATAAAAACTGTGTAAAACCATAGAGTTAAAACAAAACTTGACTGTTATTAACATGTTGGGTGCGAATTCCTACCAGAGCACAATTCAGATATAACACGATGCTATAACCCACCAGTAACAGCCATAGACTGTGGGTTATAGGAGACATTTGTCTATGCCATGATACATCTATAAACTAGCTCAGAGCTGTCAGCATTCACTGCAGGCAAACCTAATGTGACCATTCACTTATGATTTCTAAGAAGAAGAAGATATAATGTATTCATCCCTCAGAGGGAAATGTCTTCCCCCACTCGGTTGTGTTTAAACACATTACACACACAGGGAGGATATACTGTACATGCACAAACTATGGGCATAGATATGTCTCATAATTATTTGTGTGAACATAAAATAATTTGTGTGTAAATATGTGATTTGTAAATGTAAAACACCACAAATGCATTTAAAAGATTTGCAAACTCACAAATAAATGTGCAAGTGTAAAACGGATCTGCAAATACGCTAAATATTTTCACAAATAAAAAAAGATTTGTGAATATCTCTTTAACATTTACACCTTTCGATCAGGCATTTGTGAATCCATTTTGTATTTGTCGAACAAAAATGCGCTTGCGGATCTCAAATCTCTGCTCGTGGATCTCACATTTCTGCTCGTGGATCGTCTTTTTACACACACGGAATTTTGAGACATATTTTCCGCCGGTCTCGGCTAAAAATCTACTCGTGTCACTCGGTTATTTTCGGAAACCACGTGATGGCCTGCTGATGACGACATTTCCGCATGATTTCAAAGTAAGAGCATGATGGTTTGTTTAATGCTCTGTTTTTGATTATAATGAACAGCGGAACGTTAGATGCATTCTTTATCACCATCATCATCATCATGTTATAGTGATAGTTAGTTTGTGTTAGTTTATTGGTTCAATACAGCATTTATTGAGCACTTTCGTTGATGTTGATAAATGTATTCAGTCCAGTAAAGCGGACTTCGAGTTGAAAGGAAGTTCACAGAAGCCCTTTAGCTACAAGAACAATTAACTTCTGTTAATGATAAAGATGTGTGTGCGTTGAGGAACAAGTGTGTATCTATTGCAGCAGCTAGATGGGATTACTGCTCAAACTATACCTGTACTTGTGTTTTATTGATTTCTCTGTTTTATTCTTTCATAATGTGAGGACTGAATTGCTACACACATTGTGGAGTAGTTGGCTTAAACATGTTTTATTACTCTGTATGAAGAAGGAGCAGTTATGCAGGACAGGAGACTAGGTGGGGGAGGAGACATTCTTCTTAAGATCTCCAGCATGTCAAGTAGCAGGGAAGTCTACATATCTTGAATAATATATGTGTGTGTTTAATTACTTTGTATTAATAATAGCAATCTGTAACAAGAAGCTGGAAATATGATAAGTGAAACAATTGTATTTTGGAGTAAGTGGAGAGGGCTGCATGTGAAACGGTGTGTGTTAAACCGGGCCGCAGAGAAGGGAGGAGGGGAGAATGCATGTTGTGACCGGACACCTTAGAATGTGTCGCCTGTTTGTGTCTGCCAATCAGTGATCTCCTTGAGGGAGTCTCTGCATAACTCCTCCCACGGGAACTACCATATGTCTCTGTGAAGTCCTATTTCTCGTTCTCTCTTCCTCCTGCTGACAAGACAAGACAAGACAGTTAGATTTCCCAGCGGGAGGAACCAGAGCCGGGGTAATCCGGATTACTTCGTGATGTTGTGTTATTGTATATTTTGCCATTAAATCAGCATATTTGTTATAACCTGACCCTGGTTGCTTTGAATTCTTCCTCTGTTAATCTGACCCCTTCACAAAAGGACACGCGGAGGCAGAGGGGGGGGGGCCTCAGAGCCCCCGCCAGAGTGTGACTCCTGCCCCAACAGTACCGGACTGGCCATCTGTAGAATCACCAAACGCGCGGATCGGTTAGCTGTTTTTAAACGGCATCATTGAAGTTGCGCTGACAGACGACAGAGGTCCACCGTTTCCCAGTCTGCCCCTGCCGGCCATCATCTACTCTAGGTAATACACTGACTATAGATAAGCACTGTACCTTATAAAACCCCACTTTAAACACCCAAACTATCCCTTTATGATGTGACCTTTTCTACACTGTCAACATTAGGAAACACTAAAGAAAGAAAAGAAAGCTGCAGGAGCTGATCATTCCTAAAAGACAATTGGCCATGTGATCACCAGTAAAAAACAACAACAATCTGCACTAAATATGTTTTGGATTTGTAAATGTTTTGTGACTTTTTCCTTTGTGCACCTTAAGGGAGTTCTCCCCTGACAGCTGGACACTACATGATAGCAGAGGATCAGACCATCGTCAGTGGCAGTGTCCTGAATGTTGTCGACGCCCTGATGCTGATGTTTGCAGCATATTACTGCGTCAACATCAGTTATCGCTCAGAACTGGGAGCTACCCTGGAGTTCTTGCAGAGGTAAGACTTGAATTGTGATTATTAAGTCATTCCATCTTAAACCACAGTAGTTTTGATGTCTTCAGTATAAATCTAGAAAGTAGGACCAATTTAAATAAATAAAAAACTTTAAAAGAGAAGATTTGTCCAAACTTTTGACTGCGTCTAATACGAGTGTATATCTCTCTCAAAATATATATATTCTGTGTGTGAGAATATATTATAAATACATTGATTGATGAGATTTTACATTAATTTATATAAATGTTTTAATTACTTAGTGACCTTTGTACTAGTTCCCCTATTCTTTATTAAGTAACATTTTAGATGTGTTTAATTGATTATTGAACATATTTATTAGGGAGGCTCCGATCACCAATTTTGGGGCCGATCGCCAAAATCAGCATCGGCCGATACCGATCGCCGATCCGATTGAGTGGGCGGAGCCTATGGGGATCTTCCATTTAAAGTGATGTTTAAAACTCAGTTAATGGGGCTCATTCACTGGAGCTTCCACAAACAACAACCAACATAATTATTACAAATGAAATGAAGTACATTATTCAAGTTTACATTAACTGTGGATAATAACACGGGAGTCTCTCTCTCTCGCTCGCTCTCTCTCTCTGATCCAGTAATGAGTGACCCAACAGTGAAGAATAAGCATATGTATAACTAATTTAGCTTGTTCCAGAGGTAGATCAAATAGCTATTTGATATATATAATTTCTGTTGCAAACCGCTATTTTATTGTCCTTTTCGGACACCTTAAAATAGTGCCAGACTGGTGAAGCCATTTTGGTGAGCTTGTTTTGCCGCGCACAGTGAGTATCGGCCGATATCGATCAGTGGCCGATCGATTGGAGCATCCCTAATATTTATTCATTGATTTCTTTATGAATTATTTGTCACATATGCATACAATGCATACAGAGTTAAGGCTGTTATGACAGTGTTGCGACATGCTTTATGGCATGCGAGGGACTGCTTTACTTCAGATTAAGCCCGTGAGTTGTGTGGTTGCTGCCGACTGTAATGTCCTTGACTTACTGTACAATAAACCTGAGTCGTGAAAGATACTCGACCCTCGATCATTCTACATGGGGTCAGAAGTGACCGGTGAGTCACAGGAATTAAACAAGACAAAGTAGAGGAATATAGACGGCGGAATGGCCAAGTTTAATCCCCCAGCAAACTTTTCGTTTAATTAGCCGACTGAATAGCCAGAATGGAGGCAACGCTTTGAGCAGTACAGACTCGATACTAAACTCGACAAAGATGACGGGAAAGTGCAGGTGAACATATTCAGGCAGAAAACATATTCAAGTTCAACGAGTACTTTTTCCCGAGGAGGAACGTTATCCATGAGAGGGCATGTTTCCACCAGCGGGTCCAGCGGCCAGGGGAGAAGGCAGAGGGTTTCATCCCAGCCCTGTATGATCTATCTGAACACTGTGAGTTTGGCGTAAGCCGAGATGAGAATATCCGTGACCGAATTGTTGTCGGGATATGAGACAGAGAGCTCTCGCGCAGGCTGCAGCTAACACTAGCACTGACGATACGGACCATCAGGCAGTCAGAGGAGGTCGCAGCACAAGTGAGTCTGCAGGAAGACACAGTGGGATCAGTACAGGAGGTGAGATTCAAAGAAAACAATAACAAATGGAAACCTCAACAACATCAAGGCAAGTCAAAAGACAGAAAATGGGGGGAAAGTGAAAGGAAATGTGGGAAATCACAGCATAGCAAGGAAGAAGAGTGTCCTGCAGCTAAAGCTACATGCCACAAGTGCAATAAAATAGGACATTGGGCCAGAGTGTGCCGAAACAGCAATAGATCAGTGAGTGAGGTCACAGGGACTGTACAGGCTGAGCAGACCCATTATTTCTTAGGCTCAGTGTGCAGTGCAGATGAGAAAGAGCAGTGGACAGTACAGCTCCAGGTGGATTCTACTCCAATGGAATTTAAAATTGACACAGGAGCTGATGTCAGCGTCTTATGTGAGGATGCATTTCACACACTCACTCCACCAAAAACACTGAAACCAGCTGACATCCCATTAGACAGCCCAGGAGGTGAACTGTTGTGTCTGGGACGCTTTAATGCTACAGTTAGTTACAAGGGAAAGAACTACCTATTTGAAGCATATGTAGTCCGTGGCCAGAGTGTCAATAACCTACTCAGCCGGGATCTGTCAGTGGAGATGAACCTGGTGAGGCGTGTTGATGAAGTGAAATTCACTACCAGTGAACATCTTCAAGCCTATGGTGAGCACGGCACACTAAAAACTGAACCTGTTAAAATCCAATTAAAGGATGGGGCTCAACCATATGCAGTGCATACAGCACGTCGTGTGGCCTTCCCAATGTTACAGATGGTAAAAGAGGAACTGCAGAGGATGGAGAAGAACGGTGTCATCGAGAAGGTAACACAGCCAACTGAATGGTGTGCTCCTATGGTGCCCGTTCTAAAGAAAACCACAGGCAAAGCCAGGATCTGTGTGGACCTGAAAAGACTAAATGAGTCAGTAAAAAGAGAGCGCTACATCTTACCTACCTCTGATGAAATAACTGCAAAGCTAAGTGGTGCAACTGTGTTTTCCTCTCTCGACGCTGCAAGTGGGTTCTGGCAAATCCCACTGCGCCCAGTCAGCTGTAAATTAACAACCTTTATAACACCGTTTGGCAGGTACTGTTTCAAAAGGTTACCTTTCGGGATTTCCAGTGCGCCTGAGATCTTCCAGCAGAAAATGCTAGAGACTCTGCAGGGGCTGGAAGGCGTTGAAGTCTTCATGGACGATATCCTGGTCTATGGGACATCGACAGAACAGCACGACGCCAGACTCGAGAAGGTACTACAGCGTGTTGAGTCAGCAGGCTTAAAACTCAATAAAGATAAATGCTCCCTCAGACAAAGCCAGCTACGCTTTCTGGGACATCTCATCGACCAGTCAGGAGTCAGGCCCGAACCTGATAAAGTTGAAGCCATACATCAGCTGGCTCCACCAGGAAACGTCCATGAGCTGAAAAGAGTCCTGGGCATGGTGAACTACCTGGGTACGTTCCAAACCTTTCCACAATAGGTCAACCACTGTCCGAGCTTCTGAAGAGCAGGAACATCTGGACCTGGGATCACTCACAGCAGTCAGCTTTTGAGAACATTAAGACAATGCTGACCACGGCACACTGTGGTCTACCATAGCCTACTGTTCGAGGCGTCTCACAGAAGCGGAGACACGCTACGCCCAGATAGAAAATGAGTACTTGGCTAGAGTATGGGCCCGTGAGAAGTTTGACAAGTATCTATGTGGCTTGGATCAGTTCAGGCTGGAGACCGACCACAAACCATTAGTGCCACTGATCAACAAACAAAGCCTAGATAACGTCCCCTTGAGAGGTCAGTGTCTACTAATGAGGCTCATGAGGTACAAACCTTTAGCAGAGCACGTGCCTGGGAAGACCCTTGTTGTCGCCGACACTGTCCCGAAGCCCACAGACACATACAAAGGAAGAGACTGACACTCAAGAAGATGTGGCATGCTATGTAGCCACAGTGATACAGGGCATCCCATCATCATTTTGCAGAACATACATGAGGGACACCAGGGGCCACTGATAGCCCTTATGTGCTATAGATCCACTCCCTGTACTACCACAGGAGTCAGTCCAGCAGAACTGCTAATGGGGAGAAAGATCAGAACGATGCTCCCGACACTCGAGAAAAATCTACGGCCTAAATGGCCTAACAGACAGATTGTCAGACAAAAGGACACGAGTGAGAAAGCAAAACAAGCCTTTTATCACAACCGACGACATGGTGCCAGGCATCTACCAGCTCTACAGCCAGGAGACACAGTCTACACCAAGCTCCACAACGAGAAGTCCTGGAAGACACCAGCAATCGTCTCAAAAGAGTGTGTTACTCCGAGGTCTTACCTCATTAACACACAAGGAGGTGCAGTGCTCCGGCGGAACTGACTTCATCTCCGGGCAGAAGCAACTTCCCGACCTGCACAGCACATCCCACTAACACCAGCAGAGAGTGCTGTGGCGATTTCCCAGCCTGTAAGCGCCAACACACCAGAGACTGCTACCCTGAAACCAAGTGAGGTGACGACCCACACACCAACACCAGGACGTGTTCAGACCAGGTCGTGTCAGTAAGCCGGCCACTAGGTTGGATTTGTAGACAGGAGTGTTTTGGGTGTTTCACAATGACCTCTGGGGGTGAAGCAGAAAAAAAACACCTATGGCCTTTGGGGGGGAGCAACACAGGTGGACTCTGAGTCTGCAGAATGTTGGGTTCTGTGTATTGTGAATGTTATGCACACCTGATATTACTGCTGCAATGTTTAGAAAAGAAAACTTGCATCTTGAATTTTATTTTAGAACAGCACTACTGAAGGTATTGGTTACCCATCTTTATCAACATTAAGTTAACCTGTATTCATAGGACACTTTTGGCTGGTCAGTACGACTGAATGAACATTTGCTATCACAGTTTGACTGTTGTTTACTATTACAGGATGATGCTGTGACTAATCTGTCAAAACTCTTTACAGTTATTTAAAATTAAATAACTAGGAAAAAAGGGAGATGTCACATATGCATACAATGCATACAGAGTTAAGGCTGTTATGACAGTGTTGCGACATGCTTTACGGCATGCGAGGGACTTGCAGGTCTGATCTGTATGCATACAATGCATACAGATCAGACCTGCAGCAAGTGCTGATAAAGGGTCTAAAGTGTTATTAATGTGATAATAAAGTGCTACTGAAGAGTGTAAAGTGTTAATTAAGGGTAAAGGGAACAGACCTGCTCTGTGTATCCGAAGCTGAGGCTGTAAAACAGCGTCCAGTAGTTTCTGGAGTCTCTTGTTCTCCTCTTTGGAAAGAAACAGCTCCTCCTCGAGCTCTGCTATTGTTTGTTCAAACAGAGCAAATATCTCTTCATTAGCAGCAGTGAGTCGCTGCTTCTTCACCGACAGCAGCATTTGGACTTTACTCATGTTTCCTAGATCACCTTTTCCTGCAGACTCCGTTAAACACACCGTTTCTCTCTGCATCAAACTCTCAATCTGACTAGTGTTGCTAACGTGTTTCCAGCTAGCATGCTAAGCTAGCTCCTATAGTCCGAGGTAAACGCTCCAGAAAAAAGAGCACACAGTCCATTCGGAGGTTTATCCAGACACACAGATGATGGACCAGTAGAGCTGGAGCTCACACACACTTTCTCAGGAACACAGAGAGAGAGAGAGAGAACCGTAGCGACGAGACGCCAAGTGGATCCAGGTTCTTCTTCTTCTTCTTCTCTCGGTTTTTTGGCGGATTGCAAACAGCTTTCAGGTGCATACCGCCACCTACTGTACAATAAAGTGTATCACCATATCATCCAATCACCACTTGTGGAATTATACCATTATGTTGTTTACGTTGTTTTAAATTCTTCCAATCAGTGGCGGTGCTAGGGGGTGGCTACTTTGGCTCAAGCCCGGATGTTTTCTGAAAAGCCCCGGATGTTTCACTTAAAACATTTTTTTTTTAACGGAGTTATTTCAGAGGTTGCTCTGATACCATTGTTTAATGTATGTGATTAACCACTCTGACACCTAACAAATAAATATGCAATTTATTGCTGTAAATCTGTAAACATCTTATTGTTTTTATAAATGGTTTAGCATTCACAGGAAAATGATTTAGGGATAATGTACTGATGTGCTTAGCTACTTAACATATACAACTACCTAAAAACAAAAACCTTCTTTTGGTGTTAAAGTGAAATAAGATAAATAAAATCATGCACTGAAAAGTTATGTTTATGGGAAATAATCAATTTAATGTCATTGATTAGATCAATGGGCAATTTGACTGGGCCTGACATGTTTTATATAAGTTAGAAATCTTGTTTTGTTTTTAATCGCTGCCACACATTTTTACAAATCATTTAAAAAAAGTCAATCCCTGGTTTTATTGATTAGGCTTAATGCTAGACCACAAAGCCTATATTGTATAATAGCTTCTTGTTAATATGCCTAATTTAAAGTGAATATGCTTTTCTTTCTTTCTTTTCAACATGGAGGACGAGCATGACAGCATCGTGGACCAAACTATGAAGGTGCTTGTGATCCATGATGCCAGGGACGGGACCAGCAGATGTGTCCATTGTCAGAGAGGGAGACAGAGTTTTGTGCGGAAACCAAACAAAGGCATGTGCATTGTTGATGGGATTCATCTCTACGCCCTCAACCTGGAATACCCCAACAAGCTCAAATACACATTTGAGGTATTCTAAAAACAGTTTTTGGAGCTTGATGGAGCCAAGCTGCTCAAAAAGGTCCAGAGCCGCAAATAAACAATTTGTTCTGAAGTGGATGTTGACTTGTTTTAGTGCCGAGTGACACAAACACAAAATAATGTGATGTGGAATGTAATGGATGTGGAGAAACCTTTTTCTGTTAAAAGTGGACTGTTTACTGGCACTCAAAGGTTTTAATAGTTGAGTAAATTGCACTTGGAAGATTATGTTAAAAATGTTTACAATTTCCATGCACTTTACTGTTAAAACAATGTGATTGTGTGACTATTTTGAAGATTCTGCTCAGTTAACAATTGAAATGCACTTAACTGTTTAAATAATCTCAATGTATGGCCATATTGCACTTATACATTTGGTCAATAAAAAAAAACATGATCAATAAAATCTTGTGTGGCAATATATTGTTTACTGGTAACCTTACAAATAAAGTAATATTAATGTGTAATATGGATCAATTATTAAGTAAATAGATGCCTACGATTAGGAGTAAATATTACTCATTTATAAGTAATACGTTTTAAGTAATTGAGTTAGATTTTACTTAATTTCTTAAAGTAAGTCTTATATATTAAATATTAGTAACCTTTACCCAAAAAACATTGGGTAAAATCTACTCAAAAGAAGTGTGTGCAAATTGTTACCCCCATTTAGAGAGTAGATCTTATAGGTTGATTTTTACAGTGTAGCTCTTACCCCCTCACCTTCTGTTCCCAGTGTCCCCATCAGGCTCCTCTTCCTTCCTGGTAGCTCTTACCCCCTCACCTTCTGTTCCCAGTGTCCCCATCAGGCTCCACTCCCTTCCTGGTAGCTCTTACCCCCTCACCTTCTGTTCCCAGTGTCCCCATCAGGCTCCACTCCCTTCCTGGTAGCTCTTACCCCCTCACCTTCTGTTCCCAGTGTCCCCATCAGGCTCCACTCCCTTCCTGGTAGCTCTTACCCCCTCACCTTCTGTTCCCAGTGTCTCCATCAGGCTCCACTCCCTTCCTGGTAGCTCTTACCCCCTCACCTTCTGTTCCCAGTATCTCCATCAGGCTCCACTCCCTTCCTGCCTCTCTTACCCCCTCACCTTCTGTTCCCAGTGTCCCCATCAGGCTCCACTCCCTTCCTGGTAGCTCTTACCCCCTCACCTTCTGTTCCCAGTGTCCCCATCAGGCTCCACTCCCTTCCTGGTAGCTCTTACCCCCTCACCTTCTGTTCCCAGTGTCCCCATCAGGCTCCACTCCCTTCCTGCCTCTCTTACCCCCTCACCTTCTGTTCCCAGTGTCCCCATCAGGCTCCACTCCCTTCCTGGTAGCTCTTACCCCCTCACCTTCTGTTCCCAGTATCTCCATCAGGCTCCACTCCCTTCCTGCCTCTCTTACCCCCTCACCTTCTGTTCCCAGTGTCCCCATCAGGCTCCACTCCCTTCCTGGTAGCTCTTACCCCCCACCTTCTGTTCACAGTGTCTCCATCAGGCTCCACTCCCTTCCTGGTAGCTCTTACCCCCTCACCTTCTGTTCCCAGTGTCCCCATCAGGCTCCACTCCCTTCAAGCCTCTCTGACCCTGTATCTTAGTTGTTCCCTCTCTGTTTTGTACATGTTACAGTGTAATATGATGTGTTCCACATTTTCTTTCACTCCACACCCCCTGCATTCTTCAACTTTGCTTTTTCCCATTATAAACATTGTTCCATTTAATCCTGTATGATCCAGTTTGAGTCTAGTGATGATCTCCTCCCGTCTGTTCCCTTCTGTATAGATCTTTGTTATGACTGATTTCTGTAACTTGTGGTATCTCCTCCCTTTCTGATCTTCCTCCCACCTCGTCTGTCATATTTCCATACCCTTCTTCTTAATTATTGCTTTTCCTTCTCCTTTTCCAAGTGAAACTGGTATTGCTATTTCTTTTTCTAACGCTAACTTATCAGCATGCTCATTGAACCCACTCATGCATGGCGTTATATTTGTGCCTCCATCCTGAACACGCAATGAAACATGTTGAGCATAAAAAATGCTATTGAGCGCGCACTTGAACATTTTTGAACACAGAGAAATATATTTTCTCTCATAACATTTCTGCTCCGTGCGCAAGCAGACCGCTGCACGCGCTCTCTCTCCCCAACACATTCTCACTCCCAACCCGTCACATATTGACGGACGGTCAGGGCCCCTCCCCGTTACTCTATTACGGACAGGGCACCCCTTGAGAGTCAGTTTTCAACGGGCAGGGCGTCCCATAGACCTTCATAGACCTCCCATAGCGTTGATAATAGACCAACAATATCCTACACTTCCACTGGACGTGGATTCTAAAAGCACAATATACACTTCTCGCTAGAAATCTAATCAAAAAGCATTTTAATGGCCAAACTATTCCACAATTTAGGATTTTCCAGAGAGGGTTATTTGTGAATAAACGTGAGCATATTGTTTCTTACACGACCACTAGAGGTGTTACACTTTAAAACGTGGCTATGGGTCGTAATCTAAGCTGCTTAAACAATCAACCTATTTGGTCGTTTTTTGTAGGAGGACAGGCTGTAATAGACGCCATGAGAACGCTCCCCGGCAAATGCTACCTGACGGTCGGTTGTTATTATCAATATTCATGGGCGTAGGCCGTAGGAAGCATCCTGAATGTGTGGAAGGGTTTGGGGATCCCCCTCACGAAAAAAAAAAAAATAGATTTCCTGTATTCTGCTGCATTTGAACAGGTGGTTTGATACTTTTATGTGGCTATACTAGCATGAGGAAAATGATGGGTACATTTTGTAATTTCATCCAGTAGTAAAGAAAGGAAACATATTTGATTATTAATTCAGAGCCGTCTTTGAATTTTTAAAAAGCAGTTTAAATGCCCATTTTTTGTACATTTATATACAACAATAAATATTTGTGAGTGCATTGAGAGATATTGTTGAGGAGAGTCATTTATATATAAATCGCAAAATACATTTGTGAATCCTTCTGTGAGCATAATTAATATTGAGACTGATCTGACTCCATACAGATGTTAAGTTCACCTAGGAATGGTATCATTGACTTAAATGTTCAAAGAAATATTGCTCTTCTGTTTATATTGGTCACATGATGCCCCTTGACTATAATAGCCTACTACAGTGCCCCAAGCAGTAGGTAGAATATTAGCTAGTCTATGTAATGTGCACAGAAAATAAATAGTTAACTGAATACTGGGATGGAAATTGCCTATAAGCACTCAGTAAAACATAAACACACACAAAAAGCTTCTGAATGATAAGAAGTATAATTAAAACATAATGCATATTACCATTTTGAGAGAGAGTACCTTAAAGAACTCAGAAAATAATCTCTTATCGAACTGAGGCTCCAGTAAAACACACTGACTGCGTCTCTACATGGACATCATGGTGTTTACATGAGCACAGAGAGATCGGTTATTCATGTAACCTGTTTACATGATAAATACTAGTAACCTGGCATTTCGATGCCTTTTCTCATCTAAACTATTCAGTATTTGTATCTCTCTATCATGACATAAAGACGAAACTCCTCTCCAGAAGTGAGCCGCCGCCGCCATCACTGTTAACTGATTACCTGCTACCAGCTGAACACTTACTTTTCTCTTCTTTTAATTTGTTTTTCTTATGTCCATGTTGTCTGGGGGAGAAAACATATCAAACCAAGAGATCGTCAGCTTTGATTTTCGCTGTATTAACAATGTCCTGAACACTTGGTGTGTGTGCCTTACATCTGCTACCTGCATCGCTTCATACAACAGATCTGAGCTGTCCAACTATACAACACTCCTTGAACATGCGCGCGCTATGGGAGAATCTGCCTTGGTACAAAGTAGTAGTGAAAACATGGTACGGAGTTTCATTGATTTGGGCATTCTCTCAATAAGCAAGTGGAATGGATTTGATAGTGAAGCACTGACACAGCGCTCTACAAAGTGCGGCGAGTGGATAGACCGATTCACGAACTTTCCACATGGTAAAAGTGGGGGGGTCTAAACTAATCATTTCAAAAAGTGGGGGGGACTTGTCCCACCCTCATATAATGGCTGCGACGCCCATGTCAATATTAATATAATAATTATGTATTTTTTAATAGTCACACTCGATTTCGCCGATTTTCTTGTTGCCCCAACTGGTCGACACCTCTTTTAGCAGAAACAAAGGCTACATTAATGTATTAAATCGATGTTAATCCATGTGTGTGGTTGTGGAATTAATGGACATGCCGTTGTGCGATTGCGCAACGCCCCTGCTGAAAAGGAAAACCCCCCCGCAGGACTTGATACGCCCCCTTGATAAATAAATGTAATTTTAATTAAACCAGCTGCAATGGATCATGGATCCACCAGGGGGAGCCGTGAAAAGCTACCATACTGGAACTCATGTGAAATAAACAGCTGATAGATCTACAGGTATCTGATCGGATATTTGTTAAGATCCATATGTCACGGATAGGATCATATTCTGTGCTAAATAAGAGACATGTAATCATTTACAAAACATCACCATGTTTTTATTTAACAAAATAATGTTGTTTAATTCACGTAGGTGTAAGTACAAAACCATCGCTATGTTTTTTCATCAGGAAATGCAGCCCGGCTCAAACAAACGATTTTCAATCATCATCCTCACGATCATTTAATGTATCATATGTTCGCAAATGGAAATGAATGCACTAATACATGTAGTTTAATCCACGTGAGTTTACAACAACAAAAATAATCGCTTTGTTTTTATATCACATCCGACCGGAGGAAAATGCAGCACGGCTCTCACTACCGATAATCCTAATCCCACGGGCAAACAATAATATGTACAGTGTTAATAGTTTACTGTATTATTAGTGTTTAATATTACTGCTATAACAATCACACATTGAGTTGTTAAAATCAGACCGTTGTTTTTTTTTTAAACAGTCTGAATGAAACGGCAGCTCTCAGGTGATCAGGTGTGTGTTTACCAGTGTTGGGACTAACATGTTACAAACTAACGCATTACTGTAACGCAACTACCTTTTGCGGTAACTAATAGCTTTACTAGTTACCTATTCCCATTCAGTAACGCCGTTATAGTCACTGTGATTTAAATGGGTGCGTTACTGCGTTACATTATGTGATGGAACTGAACCGAATCTCCCTGCGGATGTAGCTTACAGGCGAATACAGCGATGTCCTCTCACAGTACCATGGAAAAGTGAAAGTGAGAGGAGTGATGATTGGTTATCTAAAGCCAGTTGAGTAGCACTTGAAATGTTTTTGCTCTATGAAACCTGATGTACTTATATGATTCTGTTTGCTTCAAGTTTTTATTTTGTTGGTCGAACGCACTTATTGTAAGTCGCTTTGGATAAAAACTAAATGCAATGTAATGTAAAGAACCGTTAAGGTGGAAATAACATTTGTTTGTCATCCAAGATGTAGAGTTTTAAAAAGAAGCCTGTCTGCTCCTCGCAGCAACGAGCAGCAGCGGCGAGCAGCAACGAGCACTAGCAACGAGCAGCAACGAGAAGCAGCAACGAGCAGCAGCAACGAGCAGCGGCGAGCAGCAAAGAGCCCCTCAACGTCGTGACCAATCAGAGCACACTGGGCTCACAGGGAGGGGGGGCAGGAGCTCCAACAAGCCGTTTAGGACAGAGAGTGAATACCTGGTGAATACACATATACAGAGATGCTGTATGAGAAACCAATGAGTTTGGAAAATTGCACAGTATAAATCTATTTTAGTAGACCTCAACAATGGAATTATGATCAGTGTTAACATTGAGGTAAATGTGTTACCAATTTGTGTTATTTGTTGTGCATGACCGGAAGCCAATAGCGTAACAGGTTAAAGGTCATGATGGGTATAAATAAAGCCACGCCTCCAATGGGAGAGTCCGTTGAATGAAATGCCACTGTCTCTGATGTTTCGTTATTCCTCCGCTTATTTGGATGCTAAACAGCAATGCAGTTATGCTTACTCTGCTAACAAGTAGAAATGGCCATGACATGGGACCTTTAATAATCCATGAAACTCTGAGAGTGAGCTGATTTTTAAAGTGTTTCTCCTGGTTGGAAAATGCTGTTTGCTTTGTTTCTGTGTTAGAACTAAACCTCAAGCCTTTAGTTATAACAGGTTAGTATTAAAATAATCTCTGTGTCAAACAGGGCAGGACCTTGGCACAGGCCAGTGGTTCTCAACGTGTCAGACCTCGGGACCCACTTTTTTCCTTTGTCGACAAATCGCGACCCGAAGTTTTGTACCACTCACATCTATTCAACAAAAAGTCGTGCTGTAATATATACACTTTTCAGCATATATTATTAATTAAAGTGAAGTACAGTGCACATGTCCCTCATATCCCATATAGCGTACAGCGCCCATAAACTATGGCAGGGGTCTGCAACCTTTTCGACCAAAAGAGACATTTTGCCCCCTTTTCCACCAATTTTTGTCTGGAGCCGCAAAACATATTTGATAGCTTGATAGCCTCTAACATTGTATATATTGTTATTTGATAGACAAAAACTACAGTTTTTTGCATGTATTATTACATTAAAGAAAACTGGCGCAAAGACGAGAAAAGTGTCAGCAGTGTGTAGCTCGTGTCCATGAATGAATGACAGACTGCACAGTGCTTTACCTGTCCGGTAGAGAGTAGGACATTAACGCTGCCAAGCCAAACAATTTGCGTCACCACGCCAGGCTGCAGCCACCACAAGAGAAGCGGAAATGGGAGGGACCCAGTTTGGCACCTCAGCTTAAATAGCCGGTGTGCACAATTGGTGTGCTCGCACGGTGCCAAGCAGCGGCACAGAGGGAGAAGACCTCCGGTCACATCTGTCCACGCAGAGGGTATTCAAGAATAACTTTTATCCAATTACCTTTTCCCTCTCTGTCTGTGTCTGTGTATTCTCTTGTTCCGATTAACCCTGCCAAATCTTTTTTCATGTTTTGTATCTATATCTACGCCGGGATCCGGAGTCGAGGCTGATCCTCTGTTGCTCTCCCTGAGGTTTCTCCCATTTTTTCCCCTCAAACTGTGGGTTTTCTCTGGAAGTTTTTCCTTGTACGATGTGAGGGTCTAAGGACAGAGGGTCTAAGGACAGAGGGTGTCGTTTTACTCATACTGATATTCTGAACAATCTGTGTTGTTGTAAAGTGTCTCTACTGTAGGCTAATTTTATTATATGCACAGCACTTTGGCTCGACCAAACATCGTTTATAAATGTGCTATATAAATAAAACTTGATTTGATTTGATTTGAGAATCAAACCTTCTGTGTTTCTCCAATACTTTTCTTTTCTTTGATTTATCCAGTTTGCTCATCGAGCCGGGGGTCAGGTTATTCACCTACAAGAATATAAGATAATATTTAAATGTAATTATTAAGTCACATAAAATGCAATTCTTATTCAATAAAACGGTTTTACACTTTTAAAACAACACTATTCTGTCCCCACTCCCGGGCAGACAGACAACAGGAAGAACACTCTGCTTCAGAAGTTCCGTTTTAAAGTTTTACTCAGAAAGCACTGTACAACTGGACACACAAGAAAATGTACATTAATTTCAAGCATAGCAATCATTTAACATATTATTATACATTTCACGTGTGTGTTAACAACCATAGCATAAACGATGCGTTAGCTTCATGCTAACCCCTATGGGAAATTACATTGAAAGGCTAGCGGACGTATTGTGTGAAAATAAATGTAAGATGTTGTTTAATTGCTGATATATTTATGATCCACGTCACGTTTTCAGTTTTGGCGGCAGTTCTCCTGTTTGTCTAGAAGTCTTCTCAGCAGGGCTCTATAAATAGAGAACTACGGCAGATATGTAATATTTAATGCAGCCGAACCGTGTATTACAATGCCGTTATGTGATGACCTCCAAAGAGAAAAGCAAGCACACTCTGAATAAAGTATTATTTTATTTTTAAAAAACGTTTTCAGATTTCACATCACATAAACGCCAAATCCCAGCATGCATTGCGGCAAAACCATCCAATCATCGAGCTGAGGATCTTGTCTACGCCTGTTTCCGGTTTCGTTTATCACCGATGTATTTTGTTATACACACATTCCTTCACATTTACATTTTAATTTACATTAAAGTATTTCGTGAGGCCTTTTAACATGTTTTTAAATATAACTACTGTTGTAGTCGAAGAGTTTGTAAATTAACATGAACCGAACCTGTTGCCTGGCAACGCAATCGCACAACGTCACGTCCGTTAATTCCACATCCACACGCATGGATTAACATCGATTTAATACATTAATGTAGTCTTTGTTTATGCTAAAAGAGGTGTCGACCAGCTGGGGCAACAAGAAAATCTGTGTAATGGAGTGTGACTATTAAAAAATAAATCATTACGTCGGGGTAGCATTTGCTTGGCATTTCCGGTTATTTCTCCACTGGTTAACGTGGGTTAACAATACCGTGTAACTGTCACGTTTGAAGGGACGAAATCGTGACATCTTCACGTCTCCCAGCATGGTAAATCGTCACATGTTCACGTCTTGCCGTGATACCGTGTTGGATGAACCAGGTTAGTAAGCAGTACAGTACATATGGTATGGAAGGAATAACATGTTTCACCGTTCTGCTCGACATCCGACCCTCACTTAGATTTTTCCTCTGCAGTTTCTTCTCTGGTTTGAGGACTCGTCTCAGTGAGGTTTAATTTAAAATAAATCCAGTTATTGCAAACATGTTGCCTGAAGCTGCCGCGTGGATCAGACTGTGACATGAACCTGTTTCAGTTTGTGCAGATTAAAACGAGAGAAAGCCGGGGACACAAACACACAGAGACAATAATGAGCACAATGATCTTTTAATAACAGCTGAAAAACTAACTGGAAATGAAACATGATAACATAGACAAATGTCCCCACCAGGCACGTGCAGCAGCACCTCCCACCTTACTGTCCCTTCAGACAGACAGGTAGCAGCACCTCCCACCTTACTGTCCCTTCAGACAGACAGGTTGCAGCACCTCCCACCTTACTGTCCCTTCAGACAGACAGGTAGCAGCACCTCCCACCTTACTGTCCCTTCACACAGACAGGTAGCAGCACCTCCCACCTTACTGTCCCTTCAGACAGACAGGTAGCAGCACCTCCCACTTTACTGTCCCATGTTATGCCGGCTTTTCTTGGCTTGTTTGAAGTTGAGTGGTGATTAACAAATGACGCAACTTGGAAGAAATAAAGTTGGGTTTTATGCATTCTAATATTGCAATGCAAACCCATGATGTAATGACAGTAATTAAGAATAATTGAGTCATTGAATGCTCATTTCAGTCGATTTAATCAAACAAAACATAAACATATTGGACATGGCCTCTAGACTGTAACCTCTTCACATTCTGTTGAAATAGTCAATTACTAGACTTATCTCACACATTGCTGTTTTGAATTTCTAATATGTGGATGACAGTTGAACTGCATGATGTAACATTTATGCCATCTGCTGGAAAGAAGACGTATTGCTCTGTTGGCGTTGTTTAGACAACAAAAACAGAGTGAAGCTCTCATTTGATCAACAATCTTTGAGTACAGACACCGTCCTGCAGAGAGCACACAGCCCAACTGCACGTTGTTGGTCTAGCATCACTTTACAAAACGTTTGCATTAAGACACTAAGACTAGCTGGTCCATTGTAAAGGTGAGTCCACCTTAAATGAGCAGTGGGTGGTCAGCAGGTGAAAGGCAGGACACGGGAACTTGGTCCTGAGGAGATCTAACGATTATTAAACAAGAAATAGTCGAGTCAAGGGGTAGAAGAAATGAACATTTGTGATTATTAGCGAATCGGTTGTAGGTGGGTGAAAACAGGCTTAGGGAGTAACGTATTACATGTAACGGCATTAGGTCATCAGAATACAAAATAGACAAATGTATTCCCTTACCAACACACTTGGTCTTTATAAACTATTACGCCATTTAAATCTTTTGTCACAAACTTTGCAGATCTATTTTTCCTCTCCTGTGTGGATTCTCATGTGTGACTTTAAACTTCCACTATGTGAAAAAGCTTTCTTACAGACTGAGCAGCTGAATGGTTTCTCTGCTGTGTGGATTCTCATGTGTATCTTTAAACTTCCACTATGTGAAAAAGCTTTCTTACAGACTGTACAGGTGAATGGTTTCTCTCCTGTGTGGATTCTCATGTGTATCTTTAAACTTCCACTATGTGAAAAAGCTTTCTTACAGACTGTACAGGTGAATGGTTTCTCTCCTGTGTGGATTATCATGTGATCCTTTAAACTTCCACTCTGTGAAAAAGCTTTCTTACAGACTGTACAGGTGAATGGTTTCTCTCCTGTGTGGATTCTCATGTGTATCTTTAAATATCCACTCTGTGAAAAACCTTTCTCACAGACTGAGCAGCTGTGTGGTTTCTCTCCTGTGTGGATTCTCATGTGTATCTTTAAACTTCCACTATGTGAAAAACCTTTCTTACAGACAGAGCAGCTGAATGGTTTCTTTTTAGCACTACGTTGTGGACCACTGACAGATTCATGTCTATTTTTCAGTGAGTTTGAGCCTGATGCAGGTTCTCTGGTCTCTTTCCAATCAGCACTGTCTTCAGTGTCAGGTTCAGAAGAGTCTCCAGCGTCAGGTTCAGAAGAGTCTCCATCAGCTTCTGTTTCCATGTGTTCCAGTTGTCTTTGATGAGGCTGAGAGGACTGAGGTTTTCTCTTCATCATCTTCACTCTTCACAGGGTCAGGAGTGAAAGTGGACTTGGTGATATCAACCCTCCCTCCAGCTCCTGAAGCTGCTCTCCCCTCCTGTTCCTGCTTAATGTGTGAGGGGGGCTCTGGGTCCTCCTGGTCCAGACTGGTGCTCCACTCCTGCTGGTCAGGGAGAAGCTCTTCTTTAACCACCACCAGCTGCTGGACGTCTGCAGGAAACAGGAAACACAGTCAGAACAAACTGTTAAGTGTTAGCATTTAAAAACCTCATCACCATTACAATGGGAGACATTTTGCAGCCCTAATGAATGCCTTTGTTTTTATATTTTCACATTATCTTTCTTAGTCCCACCTATTGTGTATTTATGTTGGCTCAAGTCACCTCATGTAGCCCAGCCCCTTTCCACTTCCAGTTCAAAATGTAAAAGGGTTTTTTCTTCTGGCGTAGCACTAGCCGCAATGTGAACAATGAATTGTATTTGGGATCGTTCACAGATACACTACGCCTACAGTATAGAATGAAAATACTCTGTTACAAATTAAAATCCTGCATTCATACCTTATTTAAGTAAAAGTATGCAAGTATTAACAGAACATTTGACGGCACCTTCTTATGTGACAGTAATGATGGTGCAGTAAAATGTTCCCTGTCAGTGTTTAATTTATGTTGTTTCTTGATTATTTTGTATGTTGCATTTACTGCTGGACATGTTCAAAGTTGCGCTTGTATAAATTATTATAGATGAGGGAACCTGCTAAATGTTCAAATATGTGTGTTTTTTTTATATACAGTACCACTGTAAAACAGTTTTTTAGTGTATTTCATAATTACAGGAAATCATAATCAATTTACAAGAATAAACGGTTTATTGAAATGTCTCATGTATTTTAACAAAAAAAAACTGTAAAAATGGAATACATTATTTATCTGTTTTTTTTAGCAGTTTTTAAATGCGAATTTAACAAAACTAACCGTAAAAATAAATGATTTTCTGTTGGCAAAATTAGCTGCATTTTCTGTAATTTTACTAAAAAATACTTTTGTTATGCCAATATATCACTGTCAAATACATAATACTGTTAATACTCGTTTAAAAAATGGATAATTGCAAGACAATATATGAGTAAAGAAAGAAATATTTTGTAATTTTGCTTAATTTAACCACTACCTTACATTGATAAACTGAAAAACACAGGTATTGACTATCCTATTAGAGTAAAATAACTACATTTTAACAAATTTTGACTTTCACTTTATTGCTACATTTGTATTAATTTGAAGATGTAATAGTTAAATATGTGAATTTCATGTTATAAAAACTGTGTAAAACCATAGAGTTAAAACAAAACTTGACTGTTATTAACATGTTGGGTGCAAATTCCTACAAGAGCACAATTCAGATATAAAACGATGCTATAACCCACCAGTAACAGCCATAGACTGTGGGTTATAGGAGACATTTGTCTATGCCATGATACATCTATAAACTAGCTCAGAGCTGTCAGCATTCACTGCAGGCAAACCTAATGTGACCATTCACTTATGATTTCTAAGTAGAAGAAGATATAATGTATTCATCCCTCAGAGGGAAATGTCTTCCCCCACTCTGTTGTGTTTAAACACATTACACACACAGGGAGGATATACTGTACATGCACAAACTATGGGCATAAATATGTCTCATAATTATTTGTGTGAACATACAAATAATTGGTGTGTAAATATGTGATTTGTAAATGTAAAACACCACAAATGCATTTCACCTCTTAAACCCGGCCCCCCGATACCGGGCGGAAAAACACGTCACTGCAGGAGACAGCGTCTGGGGGCTTCTTAATATTTAAAAACCTATGAATGTCTTATACTCAAATAACGGGGAAAAAAACTCAGCTACCTGAAGATATGAGCCATTTTTACCGAAACAAAACACAAGTCTCACAAGAAGCGTTATCATTAGCCCTTAGTGAAAACAGGCTGATGCTACTTCCGGTGCTAACTAGCAAAACGATCTTTAAAACTTAATATGTTCTGCACTAACTACATATCAGCTGAAAGCTGATACTCCACAGATTATTTTTATATAAGTATCATCACTGTAGGACACAAACTCACTGAGATATAAGCCAAAACAGAGCAAGAAACAACAACAGTGTTCTAAAGCATAACAAGCACAGCACAGCAGCAACGAACAACCAGCACAGCACAGCAGCAACGAACACAGCGAAGCGACAACACAGCGAACAGAGACAACAGCAGGCAACCCTGATTAGGAACTTCAGGAAAGGTATGTACTCTCTCTGTTTGTATCTATTAGTTGTGTATTTGGTGTAATCTATAGTTATTCCACACTCGCAAAATACAAAATGGACGCTGCTTTGTTGTTGTAGCGTTATCGCGTGAGAAACTAAAACAATGGCAACATCATGTTAATTGTATTTCGTGACTATAACACGGCAGTATATAAATAAAGCTGTATTGTATATCAACCCAGTATATATATATACTGTTATTCCACACACGCCAAATGGATGCTGTTTTGTAGTTCTACAGACATTGACTATTAGCAGATTATAAATAAAGCTGTATTGTATATCAGTCTATATATATATATATATCTATATATATATACTATAGCGTGTGTGAAATAACAGTATACATATATATGTGTGTGTGTATACTGTTATTTCATATATATATATATACTATAGCGTGTGTGAAATAACAGTATACATATATAAATATATATATATACTGTTATTTCACACACGCTATAGTATATATATATATGAAATAACAGTATACACACACACACATATATATATATATATGTATACTGTTATTTCACACACGCTAAATGGAGGAATTATTTCTGATTTGAGTTACATTTTTGAAAGAATAATCCAGTGAAGTAATCAAAGTAATTGTTTTTTCCACATTTGTTTTCACAGTGATGAAGACAAGTATTAAATGGCTTCTGGATCACAGCCATCAACATCTGCCTCATCCGAGCTACGACGTGCATCAGATCAGCATACAGTTGCCCCAGAGCCATCAACATCCAAGCTACGCCGCCGGACGTCTGCACCAGTACTAACTCAGCCTCCCTCTGCATCTTCTGATTCAGTGGACAGACTGTCAGGAGGAAAGTGAAACGGGCTGGTGTGTGGCAGACTAAGGTTGTTACCATTCCTGACGCTGTGGTGGACTACAACAGAAGCATGGGCTGCGTGGATGTGTCCGATGCTTTGATTGGGTACTACAGTGTTCACCACAAAACCATGAATTGGTACAAGACCTTTTTTTTTTACCATTTTCTGGACATTGCAGTGGTGAACAGCTTCCTTCTCCACAAGGAGCTGCACAAGATGAGGGGTGACCCCGGCAGGACGAAGCCACACACCCAGAAGTCCTTCAGGGAGCAGCTCGTATGCATTCCCAAGTATTATGGGGAAGATGCCACCGCGCTCAGGAGGTGCTCTGATGCTGGCAACACAACGGTGAAGACCTATCTACTGCACTAAGTGCCTGGTGCCTCAATTCAAAAACACTAAACACATTCAGGTTTGTGTACATTTTTTCTTTTTGCCAGTATTTACAAAAAAATGCTTGTGGTGTTATTTCGGTTTTAGTGTCGTTTTTTTAGTGTTATTTTTGAAATAAATCTGCTCAAGACAAGAGACAAGTGTATCCTATGTTTCCTAATTGTTATTGTGTAAGTAAACCTTCCTAGAAGTGTTAGTCGGGTGATAAACATGTAAGGGCTGTGGCAAAGTCCACACACAGACACACACCATTTACATACAAAAAAAATGTAATTTAAAAATATATTTTTTTAAAAAACACTTGTATTTGGATGGAATGATTACCTGTAGTGATAATACAATTATTTTTACAGTATGGTACCTGAAAAAGGTCAAATGGCACTGATGGTATCCAAATGTGCCAAAATGTGCCCAAAGGTCAGTCCGCCTGGACTACTTTTAGCTAAACCTCTCTAAAAGGTCAAATTTAACTTGTTTTGCCTCAATCTTGATAGAGGGTACTTATTATATGTTATACTTTGGATTCCTAAAGCTCTTAGTCTACTATCCCATCATTCAAGGGTAGTTTTCACTATAAGTAATTTTTTTTTTTTTAGGCGGGGTAAGAATTTACCTTTTTTTACTATGTTCCATCTGAATTTACTCTGACTGAGAATTATCTATATTGATTCTGACACTTCTACATCCAACTCACAGATGTAACCTTGCTTTGATAAAATAAATTATTCATATAACCCTTTTAGAAGTTAAGTTATAGTCATTTGTTTTTGGCATAGCATTTTCGAGCCTGAAACCTTAAAAACAGGCTCATGGCTTAAGAGGTTAAAAGATTTGCAAACTCACAAATAAATGTGCAAGTGTAAAATGGATCTTCAAATACGCTAAATATTTTCACAAATAAAAAAATATCTGTGAATATCTCTTTAACATTTACAACTTTCGATCAGGCATTTGTGAATCCATTTTGTATTTGTCGAACAATAATGCGCTTGCGGATCTCAAATCTCTGCTCGTGGATCTCACATTTCTGCTCGTGGATCGTCTTTTTACACACACGGAATTTTGAGACATATTTTCCGCCGGTCTCGGCTAAAATCTACTCGTGTCACTCGGTTATTTTCGGAAACCACGTGATGGCCTGCTGATGACGACATTTCCGCATGATTTGAAAGTAAGAGCATGATGGATTGTTTAATGCTCTGTTTTTGATTATAATGAACAGCGGAACGTTAGATGCATTCTTTATCACCACCATCATCATCATCATCATCATCATGTTATAGTGATAGTTAGTTTGTGTTAGTTTATTGGTTCAATACTGCATTTATTGAGCACTTTCGTTGATGTTGAAGTACAGGCTATACGCCACTTTCGGAT